ATAAGGGGACTCAAACTAGCTTACGAAGCACTTTCTAGACTAAATATAGAGTCGGCAGAGGCCTGGTATGCAGAAAAGGATGAAGCTCTGCTATCTGAAAAACTGAAAGATCTTCTTCAACGTCTAGAGATAGCTTTTCATGAGAGTCAACTGGACAGAGTCAAAATGCTCATTGAAGATATGGAACAGGAAATAAAAGCAACTGATGAGAAGCTCTTACTATTTAAAAGAGAAGGAAGACAAAGATCAAAAACATTTGAATACTGGGCTACTTTCCTCGAAGGGTGTGAAATCTTATTTAGAATCCTCAGAGCTGACCGTTCGGCAAATTTTCAACTCCATCTTGATTCGATTGCTGAAGCAATTCCCTGGTTTTTTGCAGCAGGAAAAATAAATTATGCAAGATATACACCTATTTATGTCCTGGAAATGAAACAACTAGAAAAGCTTCACCCTGAATCATACAAACATATGAGGGAAGGTGGATTTGTTGTTAGACGATCAGACTCGACCCGTTTCAATTGTGTCCCAACAGATCAGGCACTCGAGCAAACAATTAACAAAGAAGCAAAAAGCTCAGGAGGAATCATAGGTTTCACACGATCTAAGAGTGCACTTATCAGATGGCTTGTCACCAGGCATATAACTGCTGAATATGCTGAGAGAGTGAAAAATCTTACAGTACCAGTTAGCACGACGGCTATTCACAGTGACATTGGAAAAAGTAGAATGGCCAGAGATGAAAGTGACCTACTAAAAATGAAGTCAACCATCACTGACATTTTTCAAAATCCCTTTGACATGGAGACTGTTCCACCAAATCTAATTAACATAGGAACGGGCCAAATAGCACCCCTTGAGATTGAAAAGGATCTAACTGAATGTCTCGACAGGGCCAAGAAACACCAAGAAAAGTTCATAGTACACCGGCTCTTGGAAGATACAGCACACTTTTGGGATCCAGATAAAAGACTTGGCATAAAAACCTTTTCAGACACAAAGAAAACTACCATTACTGTTGCTGGAAAAAGGATTGCCATAGAATCTGAGGTTTTATTTAGAAGATTGCTTTTGGTTTCAAAGGATCGTGATGTAGATTTACAACAAGTGCTGAAGCATGAGCTCACCACAGTGCCACCCTCATTGTTCAATGATGATGGAACAATGAGAAAAACTGCTAAGTGTGAATTAGCAAAGAGACTGGAATCATATGCCGGAGTGACAGAAGTTTTGGAAGACCTTAAAGAAGGAAGTAGTAGTTACATCTTTGATGGGATGGCTCTGCTGCAGTCGATGAATGAAAAACTTTTCAAGACTTATGAGGAACTGGTGGATGCAGTTTTAAGGAGAATCCTCAAGTTTCTTAAAGGCAGTACTGATGCACTAACAGTTGTATTTGATAGATATGATAATACCAAATCTATCAAATTTGCTGAACGTGAGAGACGCGGCAACAATGATGACTCAACTACCCATATAATTGCTGCTGGAAGGAATGTGCCTAACTTTAGAAGATTCTTGAAGAATCCAGCGAATAAAGCAAATCTTGCTAACTTCATTTGTGAAATGCTAGTGGTCATAACTCCTCAATACCTCAAAAAGGGACAGAGTGTAGTTCTTGCCGGTGGTTTCCGAGACAAAAACAAAATTTTAAAGCTGACAGAAAACGGTGATCAATACCTCCCCCATCTTGCGTGTAGTCATGAAGAGGCTGATACAATGCTCATTCTACACACTATTGAAAATGCAAAACAGCACCAGCGTATTATTGTCAAGTGTGATGACACAGATGTATTTGTCCTTCTAGTGCATTACTTTCAGACTCCATATTTGACAGACAGTCTTGAAGTTTTTATGCACACTGGACGTGCAAACAAGGAGCGATATATCCCTATTCATACAATTGCAAATGGACTTGGTGAAGGTATTTGTCGACTACTTCCTGCAGTTCACGTGGTCACAGGATCGGACACAACCTGCGCATTGCATAGAATTGGCAAGAGAACTGCCTTTGCCAAACTGCAGAAAAATCACACATCACTGGTTGGCCTTTCTGCATTTGAAGACCAAATTAAATTCCAAAGTTTCGCTAGGCAGTTCATTCTGTCAATGTATTGTGTGACAGGAAAGAAAACAAATGCAGCTATGACATTAGACGACCTCCGTTTTGTGTTGGCTTCTACAACAGATAAACCAGCATCAAGTCTTCCACCAACAGAAGATGCATTCAAGCAACATGTACAAAGGTGTCAGATTCAACTTCAGATTTGGCTTTCCAGTCATATTGCCAAACCAGATTTGTGGGACCCAGTTGGAAATGGATGGAAAATAGTCAATGGGAAAATGATGCCTGTAATGATCACCAAAGACCCCGCTCCAATTGAATTGAGGGATGTTACACATCTTTATTGCAAGGACGCAAACTGTAATGTTGCACGAAAGTGCCCCTGTCTGGCTGCAGGACTTACTTGCATTCCAATATGTGCCTGTCATGATCAGGGCGATTGTTCCAACATCCAGGCAATTGGGAATGATCCTGATGAAGATGATTCAAGTGTTGATGTCTTGTGAACCTTTACATGAGTAACAGTGGTGTATACAACAAATTTATACGATTAATTTTGTAAGGGCTGTACTTATTATGTTTCCTTCACATAGGGTTTGATAATAAGGGTTTTGTATCAACCTATGTTTGTACCTGGAGTTACCCCTAGAAACTCTTTATTGACTACTGACCAGTAAAATAGAGGTAACAAATTATATGGCTACTTCAACGGATACTGAAGCAAATCCATAAAGATGCTATTAAGTTCATTTGTAAGGGTTACACTAATTAGTTCATATTATTTGTGTCAAATTTTATAAAAATTACTTTGTGAGTGCTATACTTTTATTTGAATGTTAAATGAATATTTCAAAAAAGCTTGTTCTGTTTATAAAAATAAATTAACAGATTTAAAAATAAGTTGTTTAGTATATTTGTAAGGGTTACACAAATTAATTAATTTCCTTTATTTATTTCAAACTTTGAAAAAGCCCTCTGAGAGCACTTCTTCATTTGAATGCTAATTGAGAATCTCAAACGGTCTTGTTCATTTTGTATAAGAACAGTTTAAGAAATCAAATGAAATATTAAGTTAATTAGTATATTTGTAAGGGTTCAAACAATTAATTAGTAGCCTTTAATCAATTTAAACTTTCATAAAAAAGGTCTTGTGAGCACTTCTCTTTTATTTGGATGCTAAATGAGATTTTTTTCTGTTTGTTCATTTTGTATAGACTAGTTTTAGTATAAAATAAAATGATACATAAAAAGGCATTTTCAACTTGTATTACATAACATGTGTATCTAATTTACATATTATTGATCATAATAAGCACTGTTTAACCTCACTATAGTATTATCATCATAATTTATAAACATGAAGAACTTGAAAATGTTATTTAAAGTACTTTACCATTAACAATGAAAATCGAATTTTTTTTTCAATATTATTGTTCACTAATTAATTAGTGAAAATAATCACCTCCGGTCGCGGAACCAAATTTCACAACATACATTTCTGTATTGCCCATATTCTTAGCTTCAATATGATACCACACACGACTTGTTATACTAGGTGGGTAGCATTATGAAAAAAAACCTCAATTTGTCATCCAGCTATTAATCTCGGAGGGAAATGAGAAACTGAATCTGATGTGGTTTCGGTTTGACTCTTAATGGCTTGCTTGCTTAATTGATTGATTCATTCAAGAAGTTATGATACCCAGGTTATGATGGCAACCGTTAAACATTCACGTGCATACGCGCGAGCTGACAGAAGTCATTTGAAATTTCTTAGAATGAAAAATTACGGAAACTATATTTTAAATAGCGTGCCAATGTTTTATTAGCTTATGACAGTGTCTCAAAAAGGAAACTGATATTAAATTGCAAATTGCTCAAATATGAATAATGCTAGGGAAAATTGGCAGGCACGATGATTTGTCTCATTGTGTCTCCACAGATGACTGAGCAAGGAGGGATTTAAGTAACCATGTCCAAAATGGGTTTGTGACACTTTCAGCCAAGTCAATTTCACCATCATAACATGGTGATAAGTAACAACAAACATCAGGATATTACTCTTTTAATCATTTATTACACATATCATATTTAACACCCCTTTTCCTAATGACCATTCAAAGTTGTTTCAACCCCAGTGTCCTTCAACATGACCCCCATTCCTTTCAATGCAAATGTCTGCCCTAGATCTCATCGCACGTATTGCATCGCTGATGATGTCTCTCTGTCCCTTAGATCCTTCACTGCTGCAACAATCCTGGCCCTTAGATCATTTAAATTTCCTGGTGATGTTGCGTAGTCGTTATAGGATAACCCCAAAGGAAGAAGTCAAGGGGTGAAAAACCCCATTTGACCTACTTTGACCTACTACCTTCCTCGAGAGTTTTGAATGACCTATAATATGGAACCTTCTTTTTTACTGTAACTTCAAGTTTTGAAACGCCAGGGGGTCACACTGGCCATTAGTGTTATCATGGTTATGAAAAATACGTCGTACACACTAGGGTTAATTAAGCCTCATCGAAAATCATAATCAAATCTGATACCATAATTATAAATTAAAATGAAACTTTAGTCTCTCCAGGCTAGATGATAAACCGTTTGGAGCATTGATGATCTGAGGTAAACTGTGGATATATTTACAACGTGATAAATATTTATTTGTGAGTCAGCGCGTATTCGACAGTAAAGGTGCACATATGATGTAAGCATCAAATTTAGACTTAACATAACTTCGTGGCCATCATATTTGGCATTCAAAACAATATACGTTGAAGAAAAGAATGATAGAAAGATGGTTATTGATTAACTAATGATTTTCATAGAATTCAACCCTGACAGGGCGGAATGTTTTCAAACCAATCTAAAATGACCTAGCCCATACTTGAGTTTGATGTTTAAAATTGCCCCGTCCTAGATCTGCCTTTGATACTAACGAAAAGCGGACGTAACTTCCATAATCTGAAGCGTCCACTTATGCTTTTTGTTTACATTAATGGTGGGTCTACTATCTGTCGAGTGGATTGATAAAAACAGGTTTTTAAAATAGTAAAAACTTAATCGACAAAGGATAGCTGATGTGTTATATCGTCATTACATGATATCGACCCGAAACGCCAGTATGTGGACGTTACTGTATGTTTCGCTGTTCGCAGCTTTTGCCTATCACGTAAGTATAAGTCGCAATTAATATGCATTCTGTTCAAAAATGTTATGCGTGTCATCATCTTATAATCATAATTTTCTTTTGACAATGATTATCATTTGGCTTTAACTTTCTAAAATCATAGATTTTGTACATAAGTGGAGTGATGTTTTTCACATTTTATTGAATTTCATTGAACAATGAAAAAAGTAGTTGTTTTTATGTTATCTGACAAAATGATTTATCAAATTGCCAAGTAGAGCTTAGGGATATAAGTTATATCACGTATCCTGATCTTGATGTTTCCATCGCCCGCCATATCTCCCGCTTATAGATTAAATCGAATATTGCAAAACTGAAGAATGGAAAAGTAGAGATTGTTGAACATCATTGAATCTCTTTCACGCCATAATATTGTTATTATGACAATGTGTCTATTTTACAAAACGTAAGTACTGATTACAAACCAATACTAACTTTTCACACATTGATGATTGAGATATTTAAAGTGCCCTGTATAAAGTTATTGAACTTTTCATTCTGACATACAACTTAACAATCAATGTCCACTTAATACCATGAAGAATTATATATCTCTCGAAAAATAATCAATGTGTTTATTTGAATCAATTTTAAAACTGTTCACAAATATGTTCAGGTAAAGATAGATTTTACAACCATTTCATCAAAATACATGTACGAATATTGTTTTGTTGTTATCCATAAACCTACAGAATTAAACTTACCCAGAGATATGTCTCTGGCTTACCATAACACCCCATGTAGACAGATCGCCTAAAATTACATTCGTATGATGCGAGACTCGATGTTCAGCAGGAAAATAGAAACATTTTGTCATCAATGTAGCAAATTATTTTCTCTGCTTAATAAATCACTGTTCCACAACTAGTTACTTTGACGGAACAAAGCTTGAAAATATAGTCTTGTTTTAAAGGACAACTGAAAAACCCTTTCTCAACTTGCAGCTATAAAAATGCGGTTTTCTCCATTGTAAGCCCAACGTAGAGTTCTTGCGATAGCCATTATAAAATAAATGTTAGATAACTACTAACGGTCATAGATAACGAAATAAAACTAACTGATCAATCAAATTGGCCCCCACGTGATTAGTAACGTCATATACAAAATATAGCTTTGGTTTATTAGTTCCTTGGTAATCACAACGTCACGGCAACCATAGGATTGTTATGTAAACAAATAACAAAACATTTTGGCATTATGACGTCATGATCTAATGGACCAAAACGGGCCACGTGGGGACCAGTTAGAGATCACGTGGGGGCCAATAACGTCACAACCAATTCGAATATTGCTTATTAAGCAGCTATAACGATCGTTAGAGTGATATAGTTTTCACACTACTGATGAGAAAACATGTCCAAATACATCTATCAAAAAATTATATTGATTCCTTTAGGTTAAAAATACCATTTCATATCTGCTTTAAGTTTCTATCTTTGGAATTTGTTTTGTAAATGAAGTTGCAATTCATATATTTAGCCCCTCGCTTTTGTTACATCGACGAAAGTCCGTTATATTACCAATGTATGTTACTTTGACGACTTACGTCAATGTAGCAAAAGCGATGGTCTAAATGCATGAAAAAAATCAAACTCCAAACCGAGAGTATTTCTAAAAGCTAGACTGTATTGTCTAACTTTGTGCCAAAGTACAATTTGCAACATGACTTATACGTAAGTTTAAATCGAGAAAACAAAAAACTCGTATCTAGAAAGTTCAACCATTTTGTTACATTGACGTTCCGTCAACGTAACTAGTTATGGAACAGTGATAAATGGTAAATGACAGTCACATTAAGTTTTACAAGTATAAGAATAGCATGACGTCCCAATATTTCACGGTGACTTGTGAAAAATGGTGTCGGTGATTGAAATTACGATGTAAGATAAAACCGCAACGAAATATTTGTATACTCTTGATAACGAGACAAAATCATTATGGTTTCAACAAATTCACACTAAAGATTTCGGATATATCTATAGTTTTATTACATATAGGATAACACATATCCCGATAACTACACTAGTAGATAAATGATAACACTAAAATCCCTATTTGTTAATTTGAGTTTCAACTTTTTTTATTTAGGTACAAGCAGGTGTAGTTATTGAGAGTGTAGATGGATCGAACTCCACCAAGGGTTGTGCAAAGAATTACTATGGGGAGAATTGTGATATTTATTGCAAAGAAAACGAGAGGTATATATGTTCCGTGAATGGTACCAAAATATGCAGGAATGGATTCCAAGCCCCAGAACAAGACTGTATGCTCGATACAACGCCTAACCCAGAGTGCCCGGATGACGGGGACTGTATCAACGGTGAGAAAATAAGTTACTGCGTTTTTTATAATTTTGCCAAATATCTCCCTTGTTTTAAAACCTGCATCATATTTTTATAATTGCATGAATGTATCTCCTTTTTACAAAGGGCAATAAATATATACATACATACATACACATCAGAAAATGTGCCTTAAAAAGAGAGACTGGATTGAAATTTGTGTTTAAGAATGAAGGTGAGTAATGTATTGTTAACGCATACACGTATATTTGCAGTTGTGGCATTATTACAGGGTACCAAATAGACAAAGTGAAAGATGTAACTTTCTTAATATTAGGATTGGTGCAATATTGATAAAGTTACAGTATAATTCACCTCATTTATGCTATGCTATGCTTAGGATATGCCTTTATTTTAACAATATCGTATTTACTATTGGATATTTTGTAGGCTTTTGTCGGGCAAAAACGTGTGTATGCAACCCTGGTTGGAGAGGACGATTCTGCCACATTCAGATTCTCGGATGTGAACCAGCTCCCGGTCCTTGTTTGAATGGCGGTACCTGTCGTCATACATCGGGGGTGGAAAGATTCAATTGTTTCTGTACTCCTCAGTGGACCGGAAGATACTGCGAGACGCCCCTCCAGCCACCCTGTACCCCACGAGATGACTGTAGCGGACATTACACGTGTGTAGGGAACAATAAGGTGTGCTTACCTGGATGGACAGATCCATCCCGAGATTGCACCGTCAGAACTATCCCTCAACCAAATGACCCAGAGTGTCCGATACAAGGATTCTGCCAACAGGGATCGTGCTTCCAGGTATATGCGATAGATATCTAGAGATTGCTATGCTTTACAACTTTAAGAACACATTTACTGTTAATTAGAGAGCTTCATATAATTATATTTGCCCCAGGGGGTAGTTTGAAACTACGAAGTACCAACATTTGTCTTACAGATCGACAAAATGTTGAATGTCACATTGCGAATCCTCTTGTGAGATATTCTTAATAGATTGAACGATTTCAGGGTCGATGTTGCTGCAACCAACATTGGGATGGTCTTCTATGCAGTTGTAAGAAGCTTTACTGCAACGATAGACCGTGTCAGAATGGAGGTGCGTGTCGCAATTTGGAAGACGATTATTCGTGTACCTGCCCACCTGGCTGGACGGGAAAAAACTGCGACCAAAGAACATCTAACGTTTGATTCGTATAACTGGACCTCAACGAAAAAAAACAGTTGAATTTTTTAATTTAAAAAATGAACTTATATTAAGTTATATTGCATGTAGTCCCGATAATGAGGGAATCGTGAATAGAATAAATTAAACAAAATGGAACAAGTGTTGCAAAGCTGTTCAAGGCACTGTTTTCATATACTAATACACTTTATTATACATTAGAGGCATGCTGATCAGTATCCCTTCAAGACTTCTAGTGAACATTGTTAGCTTTTGGACAAAATTCAAAACATATACAAAATAAGTTTGTTATAATCTAATTGAATATTGTTTAAGTGATGCTAAAATCGCGAAATGTGAACTGGTCAGTGTTGACCCATTGGCTCAATGTGACCACAGTGGAGTACGTTCCCTTGGTGATGTTGGCATGTTCGACACAATTCAATTTACTTCTTTAAGCTCAATCCAGAAGCAGAAATCATGACTGAAACCCTGGATGGTTTATTAAATAACCTTAATATATAGTTCAATGAAGCCTACTAGCGCCTCTTGATAAAAAAAACAATTTAAAAGCATAATCTATTTATGTCCCGCAAGGTTGGCGATTTACAGCGGGAATCTTGAATTAAAGGAAACAAATTAAATGTTCTATTTTTGTTGTCCCGTTGGGACTATTTGGTGCTAGCATATGGATGATATGATGACAAACGGACGGATTGAGATTCAGTTATATTTCTTACTCTTCTTTATGGAAAAAAAATAATATAACATATGTCATGTCATGTCATAACGTAGAGTAACGTAAGAACAACATAACATTACATAAACAAAAACACAATATGCATTTGTTCACTTCTGTGAACAGAATATGATTGAATCAACCGATACCATACGGTGTTCTTTATAGTACTCGTGACCCAACGATAAATCAAAGTGTAATTGGCGTTGAAGTTCGAAACACAAGATTCAATTTCTATTATAACAAGATTAGATTTCTTTGGGTTATTTTTCTGATTGACATCGTTTCAATGTGCGAATCAAGTTGCATTGCGTGTTTTCTTTCAAGATGTCCTTTAGAAATATAAATCAATCCATCCCACTTCAAGACTCCACGAAGTCGTTCACTTTGTATTATTTCAGAATCTATCAATTTTGCGCTTAATATAATTATATCGCAGACTATTGAGAACTATTATGAAATGGATTTCACCCTCTTTTATAATCAAATCGATGGCGCGGCTTAGATTATTATTATATCTCGAATCCTTCGGTTTCTTTATACTTATTCACTTATGCTGTCGGTAAGATTGACAGTGCAAAAAATGTTTCACTTGCACTGACTGGCGGATCTGGGGGAGCTGCCCCCCCCCCATTGGGTGGGCCCAGAAAAAAATTGGGCCCAAAAAAGGCCTCAAGGTCCCAAGAAGTGGGCCTGTTTGGTCATTACTGGGCCTTATGAGGCCTTATTTTATAATTTCAGGCCTTTTGAAGAAAATGGGCCTCAAAATTTGGGCCCGCTTTGGGTTTTAGGGGCCCAAAAACGTTTTTTTTGTCTGACCTGACCTGAAATTTGCCCCCTCCCCTTGTTGGTTCCCAGATCCGCCCCTGACTTGTATGGAGAGAGGTTGCTTTGCCCAATAATTTCCATTCGCTTTTATGTTTTTAGTTGACAATGACTGACGTGAGACTAGAATGACCTTACCTAATTACATAAAACATACAAATCAGATATTTAAATCGCGTTGTGCAATGGAACCAGTCCCTGCTCTTAAGATAATCCCAACCTCCAATATATTGTTTCTGTAGCTTGTAAATCATCCATCCGATTATGCAACCAATCAATAAGAAAACTAATATTGTTTATGAATATTCTGGATAGTTAATGCTGCTATTCACACAAGGCGCCGTTCTTGACATTTCTTACATTCTAATATACAGGGACAGTCTCCCCATGTGTTAATGTTTGAATGTTATTTTTCTAAATACATTAGGTCATATTAAGTCATATTTAATACAATTAAACCTTGTTAAACGTTTCATTGGACTGTTCAAAATGGTCACGATTTTATGACCTTTCAAAAAACATGCTCCAAATGCCAGCCTCGTCTTTACACCGAGGATCAACGAAGACATGATGTCTTTGTTTCAACATGGCCGAACTTCCGGTTGATAATATTTGTTGTTTTTTCGATTTTATCACCTTCATCCTTTCAACTAATTATATAAACATTTGGCCCGAATGAAGTGCGTAGATTCCGGTTTCGGAATAGACTTATACCTTAGAAACACATACAGTAATTGTTTGGATAACTACAAAACAATTCCCTTGCTTAGGAAACGAAGACAGTTTCTCTGAGAAACGAAGACAGTAAACTGGTTTCGGAAGCATGTAGACAGCACATTTCAATGATATATGAAAAAGGAAGTGCTCTAAAGGCAAACTTGAACGCGTAGTCGTGATGACTACACGCTAATAGACATCGTGAGTAATGGCTCTTATCTTCCTTTTCGACTCTCTTAGCGCAGTCAGATGTCCAGAAATGAGCCCTTTATAGTTCGACTTTTTCAGGAAAGCAACAAACTTGGCACAGTTGTAGAAACACTTGATCTGAGTGGAAAATGATTTCGGGGCAAGTGATCCGGAGTGGTCTTCATGGATTTTTTAGTCTCTGACCCCAACCCCTATCAGGCGGGGAGGGGGTACATTATAAAAAATAAATAAAAATGGTTGTGAAGTAAATTTTTTTAAATGACTTCATTTGGTGATTGCTCTGAGCCTTGAAATTGAGACAAACTGATTGTAGATGTGGTGTTAAGTGTGGAAAATGCATTTTGACCCAATTATCTAGCGTGAATTCATCTTTTAAAGGGTCAAATATGGGACATCAAGTACTGTATTTCAAGAATGTGATGTCTGATCATCTTGGAAAAATGCATACTAATAGGGGTATAAGTGTTCATCACAAATATAGAATATGGCTTGGGTAGCTCATGTATTTTTTTAAATAAAAATTATCGAAATTTGAATTTTTAAGCCCTTGTGGCATAGGGGTAACCTTATTCTACCTTAATAATTTTTAAGATATGCAATGTATGGGTCTCATATGAGCTCAAAATGGTGCATTGAGTCTTGTTTTGTCATATTATTCCTAATTGGATTGAAAAATGATTGGAACTTTTCCAAAAAAAAAAAAAATTCATCATCGCTTCTGAAGGGCCAGGGGTAACCATATTTTACCTTAATAACTTTCAAGGTTTGTAATATATGTATCCCAAATTAGCTCAAGATGATGCATATAGTTCTGTTTAATCATAATACCTCCAATAAGATGTAGAAAATGATTGGACATTTCTTGAAATTTGAAATTTTCATTTTAGCTTATGATGGCCTGGGGGGGGGCTTATTTAACCTTGAACTTTTCTTAATTATGAGACGTATGCATCTCAAATGAGTTTAGAATTGTGTCATATACTCTTGTTTTGTCATATTATTCCTTAGGAGATGTAAAATATAATGGAAATTTGAAAAATGACATTTTTAGCTTTTGACAGGTCAGGGGTGATTTTATCATATATTACCATAATATAGAAGCAAAGGATGGAGTGAGTTTAGCAGTCCCCATGACCGATGCCATTGGCAGCTTGGGTCTTAAAGCATTTATGACCCAACCTGCAATAAACCATGCTGACCTATTCTCAACCAATCAGCGAGCTTGAAGGAACAAGTGGTAAATGCGTGCACATCAATGATGCGATTTCGTCAGAGAAAATGACCATAAAGAAAGCCGTCCTTATTTCGACAACAAACTCTGATTAGCGCAGTGAGTTCAGAGATTCATTGAAAACTGATAGAGTGAAGACGAAGCTCTCTTTTGAGAAGGAAAGTCGAATGAATGCAAAGGGTAGTAAGTCCAGTAACCTTAGCCTGATGGGGGGTTAAGGTGAGCTGCTTCTGTCAAGGATTCTGTCAGTGAATAATGACAGTCAATGATTGGGCACAAGAATGCCAAATGTTATCACAATAATTTTCAAGATAAATGATCTCAAAATGGGGAAATAGTCTGTTTTTCACTTTATTCCTACTGAGATAATGATTAACAACAATTAGAAAATTCAGTGACACATTTAAATCTCAATCCATTTATTCCATTTTTCCATAGCAGTAGAATACAGATGTAACATCACATCCAATGATTGTATGAGAAATGGGGAGGGAGGATTAAACTTTGGTCATGGGCAGGTAGATATTGATATGTTTTCTCCCTTACCATATGCTATCCAAATTGACTTTTTCAGTTTTTAACATCACATATATGCCAGGATAACCACATCAGAATTAAATGTAAGGAGTATTATTCTTTCTCTTGAAGGCCATGATTGAAGCAGTCTAACTGAAAATATTGAGAAATATCCTTGAATCTGCTTCTTCTTATAAGAGCAAGGGTGATGGCAGAACCTCACTGTTGGGCTAAAACATTGCATTGCCTCCTTAATTTATGTGGTCACTATCTTTTTTCCATCCATTTCAAGGGTTTCAGTTTCCTCCTTAGACTATCCTTGTTCCAGTTTCACAAGTCTCTCTAGTGCTGTTTTAAAGGTGCAACAATTAGTGCAAAGGGGCCATTCAACGATCATGGACCAGTGTCAAAATATATTCAAGTTTTGATATTTCATCAAGACTAACATGATATATGTTTATTTTTTTTCAAAGAAACCCCCTGGATGAACATTATTTCAGCTGATTCCTCTTGAAATGTTTTGGATCTTAAAAACCTATAAGTGGGACTCCCTTTATAGAAGCTTTGAACTGAATTTACACTTCTTAATGCTGAAATTGATAGTTTATCCATACATTTTAAGAAAATTGGTATGTCAAAGCCAAATATTGCCCTGATAGCTCAGAAAAAGTAAAAAAATTGAATCTTCTACAGACCTTGTTGCCCCTTTAAGCTAGTGTCCTTGTAAATATCCCAGCTGACATCAAGGCAATGAACTATTTGCAGACTTTTATGTGGGTAATATCATATTTCCATAATCACCAAATTTATTTATATTTCACTGTTAGCATGTTTAACTATACATGCCCTGTCTATTATTTTGGCATCTACTATGTAGCTTAGTCATTCAACTTTGATGTTAATGAGCATAGATACAAACAGCACAAAACTGGAACAGTGAGGAAAGTATATCCTACTAATTTTCTTCTGTGGAATTGGCAAGATTTCCTAAGATAGTTGGAACAAGAGGGAGCTGTTTTCCTTCCAGGCATCAAAACTGAAACCCTGGAGGAAGATGGCAAGAAGATTGTGACCTCACAATGAGGTAATGCAATATCTTAGCCCGATAGTGAAGTATCTGCCATCACCATTCGCTCATATGAAGAAGCATGCCAAAGACTGCTTCTGTCATGACCTAATAAGAATCATAGTCAATACAGTTGATTTTGATGTGGTTTAAACTGGCAGTAACTTGTGCTGAAAATGTCAATTTGGATTGCATATGGCCTATGGTGAGGGGAAATTCCTCCAGTATGTACGACCTGCCTTAGATATTTCAAGGCCACTTGGCCATGAACGAAGTTTAGCCCTTACCATTTTTCATACAATCGCTAGATGCATTCTGCTACTACTCTTAGTCAACTGATTTGCAGGAATAGAAGGTGTACCCAGAGGTTACGCAAGTGTTCTTAAGCTTTAAATCTGTTTTGATACCTTAAAATTAGAAGACGAGAGTCCTTATTCATTCTGATGCATTCTTACCCACAGTTTCTATCACCACATGAATGTGGCTGGACTACTCCCACTGCTGATACTGAGGCCACAACATAAAATGTAGGTCATGGGGTAGATACCTGTGTCAAGAGAACAGATGCAAATGTTTGAAAGCAGATCTGATTTGCTCTGAGCTATGTAGCTGTAGGAGAGACTGTCAGAATCCATAAATTGTGACTCGTTTGATTAGGTTTTATAGATTTGGACTATATACTCAAATGATAATATACAGAATCTTAACAATGCTACTACTCGTGCGAGTATGAACTGGACTTATCAAACATTTTCATATCTTAGAAAATGTTCTATAAAACTAGATAGTATTGCCATTGGTACTAAAAAGGAATAAATGGCTGTTGAGGTTCATTTTTTATAATTGTTAATCATTATTGTACATTTTTTGTATTGTATATCTCAGTAGCAATAATATGACAAAACTAGACTATATTCACTATTTTGAGCTCATTTGAGTAGACAATATGATATATCTTTGTTTAAATTTTTAAGGTAAAATTAGGTCATTCCTGACCTATCATAAACTACACTACCAATCTCAAACTGCATCAAACAGCATGGTTTCATAAACAGTGCTGTAAAAACAGTACTGAACACAGCTGTTTTCTACAGTACTGAGCTGTAAAAACAGTACTGTACTATGCTGTCCAAAACAGATGGTGTTAGAATAGCATTGTGCATTGCTATATAGTGCAGTACTCTGACTGCACTGTTCAGTACTGTTTACAGCGCTGCAAGAAGATGTTGCAGATTGGGGGTGTAATATGAAAATGTCATTTTCTTATAATTTCCAATCATTTTTTCACTCCTTGGGAATGATATGATAAAACAGGACTAAATATACCATCTTAAGCTCATTTGAGGTTACTATGTCTCATATTTAGAAAATTATTAAGGTAAAATAAGGTTACCCCAGGGCCATCAAGAGCTTAAGTGAAAATTTTGATTTTTTAGATATATCCGATCATTTTCTACATCTTATTGGAGGTATTATGATTAAACAGAACTATATGCAACATCTTGAGCTACTTTGAGATGCATAAATTACATATCTGGGAAATTATTAGGGTAAAATATGGTTACCCCTGGCCCTTTAGAACTGAAAATGAAAATTTGATTTTTTTTAATTTCAAATAATTTTTTTTACATTTAATTAGGAATAATATGACAAAACAATACTTAATGCAACATTTAGAATTCATATGAGGCCCAAACATTGCGTATCTTAAAAATTATGAAGGTAAAATAAGGTCACCCCTAGGCCGCAAGGGCTTAAATATCCATATTTCGATAATTTATTTCTCAAAAATTACATGAGCTACACAAGCCATATATCATTTGAGTGATTAACACCTATATCTCTATTAGTATGAATTTTTTCAGGATGATCAGACATCACATTCTTGAAATACAGTACTTGATGTCCCATATTTGACCCTTTGAAAGATGAATTCACACTAGATAATTGGGTTAAAATGTATTTTCCTTCCTAAACACCACTTCTAAAATAGGTTTTTCTCAATTTCAAGGCTCAAAGCAATCACCAAATGAAGTCATTTAAAGAAATATACTTTACAACTATTTTTATTTATTTTATTATAATGTACCCCCTCCCCGCCTGATAGGGGTGGGGGTCAGAGGCTTACAATCCATGAAGACCACCCCGAATCACTTGCCCCGAAATCATTTTTCATTCAGATCATATGTTTCTACAACTGTGCCAAGTTTGTTGCTTTCCTGAAAAAGTCGAACTACCAAAGGGACATCTGACTGCGCTATCTTATAATTCAACTCTCTTGTGTTTCAAGGGTTGTTGGTGTAGACATTAGAGAGTTTAAGCTTGCATAAAAATAGAAACGCCAACCTATGACCAATCGTTTAAATATTTTCCGTTCACGTTTAGGTTGTGAAAAACATTGCAAGCTTAGACTCCCTGATATCTTTCAGATAGCCTCGAAGATGAAAATCTAGGGGTTAATGTCGAGTGGCTGAGTGTAGCATATTTCGGCATTTGGAGCACTTTTTGTAAAACAGCCACAAATCTTGACTATTTGAAATAGACCGATGAAACTTGGGAGACTAATAAATACCATTGAACAACTATGATTTAGACCCATATATACTGGATGACGGAATTATTAACATGTGTTTGGGTTGGCCTTTTAGACTCAGCCTGTAATATACCAAATATCCTCGACGGGCACTAACCATGTCTTCATAACCCATTCTGATACTCATCACATCTTTCTGTTTTTGAACTAAAAAGGAACTAATAGAAGGTTTTGATTTCTTATGATGCGCTCGTTACCACATATTTGGTTACTATACATTAACTATCCGAATGTTGCCCCAAGCCTCTAAGCCTCAGCTCTTTCTAATCAAGAGAGTGATTGCGCCACTTAGCACCGATACTAATGATGATTACATATTTGTTCTCTTCTTATCTAAAGAGACTCATAAATATTATGGCCATATTAAGAATATAACCCTTTTTAATAGTTTTTCCTGACCCGGTTACGATAACTCACCAAACGATTTACAAAGGATTGGTATCTATATGGAGGTTGCCGTAGAAATTATAACTCGGAGTTATAATATTTGTTCACTTCTGAGGTCCCCGTAGAAATCAACTGGCTCAACAAGATTGAATCATTATTTGTCAATGTTTCACGATCACTTTTCATTTGATATTACATCCTAGCACTATAAATAACATTTATAAATTGTCCTGATGTAAATAAAATGAAAAAAGTATTATTTATCAATAGAAATTTAAAATTCACCGTGCGGCTGCCGTGGGAAATGTGACTGCAAAAGTATGAGAGCGCAGAAATTCTACGGCGAGCGTAGAAAAGCTACTGGCCGCAGAAATGATAGGCCGCACGGCGGCCGTTGGAAATGTGACTGGGGTGGTAGTAGCCTTCACTCACACATTCCAAAGTCCACAATAGTTACATTTGAGGTCATTAAGATTTAATAACAATCAAAACAGCTGTAGTATCCATATTTTTCTGTCCTATTTAGAAAGTAAGTATGATATGAGCCTCAAGGTACTGTGTGGCTAAGATGATGATGATTGTAGGCTACATCCGATTGAATGCCAGCCTACGTCTATATGTCTTAATATCACAATACAATGACACCTCGTTAGCATCATAATTATGACAAGGAGGACGATTCCTTATTTTTCGAATATTGTTTTACTTATAAGGATATTAGAGCAGAATTTATTTATAATAACATATTATATTATATTGACAATAAACGCGTGTCCCAGTCACCATTCATATGTTTAAGCATCAGTTTTTATAAAATATTGTGTGTGGTAGAAATAGGCCTTCCGTTTTCAATTTTGCTTTGTATATTATCTCATTGAATGCTGCCCTGTGTAAGGATACTAATGGTTACTAGCTAGTGGTTATAGTGATTTTGTTTTCTGTATAAAAAGTCATTTTTCCCCTACCCAATCAGAGCGCCATCTGGCGTTTGGTAACTGAATCGGGGCTCAATATTTACAGAATTTAACCAATTTCTGGAAAGGGGTGGATGTGTAGAAAAGGGATGTGCAAGGAAAGTGGTGAAAACCTTTTTGTAACAAGTGGAAAGCGAAGAAGATTAACTTTTTGACATATTTCTGAGGCCATATTCTTGTCATTTTGACGCAAAAAGCTGCTTAAAGGAGGGTAAGTTGACCATAAAGAACATCATTTATTATTATGTTAATAAATCTAGATCTGTGACTCATATCTATGATATTGTGTCAATATCATATTTCCCTAGGTCAATATCATATTTCCCTAGGTCAATATCATATTTTCTGAGGAATAAAACCCATATCAATCCCGACCAGAAATAACCTATTTATTCCATAATACATTCCTCTAAAATGTTACATTTGGAATGCTTTTACCAATTGACCAAGGTTAAAAATAACCGAGAAACCAAAAATAGGTTAAATAATACGCTCCAATACGATTTTTCCCGGGGACAATACGATTTTTTCATGTAATACGCTCCAATACGATTTTTCCCGGGGACAATACGATTTCGATTCAATACGATTTGTATTCCTTCATATTTCCCTGGGAAAACAGTAGTACAGTAGTATTATGGAATAAATACACTTATTATGACGTAAACTATTAAAACATCTTTGTAACAATTAAATTGCATCATTGTGAATTTCTCTTGACAACAATGTTTATGAAAACAAACTGATCGTCTTACTCTGAGCTTGAAATTCATTTCAGTTTTAATTTACAGGAACATTCCAAAGAAAAATCATGGGACATTGTTGTAGTATAAATAGCCATCCACACAAGGAAGATACATGTACATTATGTTCAAAAGACAAGAGGAAAATTGTAAGGAAATCAGGGGTTACCTACATTCCTATCAAACGTAACATTATTCCAGGAACACACAAAGGATGTAGACAAATTAACCGAGATGATCTAAACAGACAAACGGAAAGATTCATTAAAGAAAGGTGCTACTTCTTATTAGTCCTATGGGATCATGTGTCTAGAATAATGCTACTCATGTCTTACAGCTACTCACTGGTTTTGTTAACATAATTCACCATTGACAATGTAAATTGAGGTTCCTTTGACAATGCAATTTTACCATTTGTTATTTCTTCTTAAAACTACTCACTTATGAGGTTTAAGTTCACAATTGACAATATAATTTTACCATTTGTCATTTCTTAAAGCTACTCACTTATGAGGATAACTTTCACCATTGACAATGTAATTTTATCATTTGTCATTTCTTAAAGCTACTCATTTATGAGGTTAACTTTCACCATTGACAATGTAATTTTACCATTTGTCATTTCTTAAAGCTACTCATTTATGAGGTTAACTTTCACCATTGACAATGTAATTTTACCATTTGTCATTTCTTAAAGCTACTCACTTATGAGGTTAACGTTCAGCATTGACAATGCAATTTTACCATTTGTCATTTCTTAAAGCGACTCACTTATATGAGATTAACTTTCACCATTGACAATGTAATTTTACCATTTGTCATTTCTTAAAGTTACTCATTTGTGAGGTTAACTTTCACCATTGACAATGCACTTTTACCATTTGTCATTTCTTAAAGCTACTCATTTGATTGTGAGGTTAACTTTCACCATTGACAATGTAATTTTACCATTTGTCATTTCTTAAAGCTACTCACTTGTGGGGTTAACTTTCACCATTGACAATGTAATTTTACCATTTGTCATTTCTTAAAGCTACTCACTTGTGAGGTTAACTTTCACCACTGACAATGTAATTTTACCATTTGTCATTTCTTAAAGTTACTCACTTGTGAGATTAACTTTCACCATTGACAATGTAATTTTACCATTTGTCATTTCTTAAAGTTACTCACTTGTGAGGTTAACTTTCACCATTGACAATGTAATTTTACCATTTGTCATTTCTTAAAGTTACTCACTTGTGAGATTAACTTTCACCATTGACAATGTAATTTTACCATTTGTCATTTCTTAAAGTTACTCACTTGTGAGATTAACTTTCACCATTGACAATGTAATTTCACTATTTGTCATTTCTTAAAGCTACTCACTTGTGAGGTTAACTTTCACAATTGACAATATAATTTTACCATATGTCATTTCTTAAAGCTACTCACTTGTGAGGTTAACTTTCACTATTGACAATGTAATTTTATGATTTGTCATTTCTTAAAGTTACTCACTTGTGAGGTTAACTTTCACCATTGACAATGTAATTTTACCATTTGTTATTTCTTAAAGTTACTCACTTGTGAGATTAACGTTCACCATTGACAATGTAATTTTACCATTTGTCATTTCTTAAAGTTACTCACTTGTGAGATTAACTTTCACCATTGACAATGTAATTTTACCATTTGTCATTTCTTAAAGTTACTCACTTGTGAGATTTACTTTCACAATTGACAATGTAATTTCACCATTTGTAATTTCTTAAATTTACTCACTTGTGAGGTTAACTTTCACCATTGACAATGTAATTTTACCATTTGTCATTTCTTAAAGTTACTCACTTGTGAGCTTAACTTTCACAATTGACAATGTAATTTCACCATTTGTAATTTCTTAAATTTACTCACTTGTGAGGTTAACTTTCACCATTGACAATGTAATTTTACCATTTGTCATTTCTTAAAGTTACTCACTTGTGAGGTTAACTTTCACCATTGACAATGTAATTTTACCATTTGCCATTCCTTAAACAAACTACTTACTTTGGAGGTTAACTTTCACCATTGACAATGTAATTTTACCATTTGTCATTCCTTAAACAAACTACTTACTTTGGAGGTCTAAGTTCACCATTGCTGTATGCAATTTTACCATTTGTAATTCCTTAAAGCTACTCACTTTTGAGGTTAACGTTCGCAATTGACAATGCAATTTTTGTCATTTCTTAAAGATACTCACTATTCTACCATTTGTCATTTCTTAAAACAAACTACTTACTTTGGAGGTCAAAGTTCACCATTGATGTATGCAATTTTACCATTTGTAATTCCTTAAAGCTACTCACTTTTGAGGTTAACGTTCGCAATTGACGATGCAATTTTTGGTCATTTCTTAAAAATACTCACTTTTCTACCATTTGTCATTTCTCAAAACAAACTACTTTAGAGGTTTAAGTTCACAGTTGATGTGTGCAATTTTACCATTTGTAATTTCTGAAAGCTACTTACTTGTGATGTTAACGTCCACCTTTTCTTTTTATACATACACTTGTTGTTAATAGGCTATAGTGATGTATAGATCTATTGTACTAAGTAGTATCTTATTGTTAGTTTAAGAAAGATAGATAAAACAGAGCCATGTAAATGTTTGAAATATCTCTGGATATATCTATTTCATTTATCGAGAAAACTGCTTAACTACCATCTTTATTTGAGAAGTACTCTAATACTGATCGTTAAGTTGAGCAAATGGCAAACAGAGCTTCGAAGTAGTGCCCCATTGAAATTAAATGACGCATTTGATCCTTCATTAACCATCTCATCACCAAGGAGCTAATTAAGTGAAATACATTTTGATTTCAAAATATTTTTCATGAATAAAAAGGAGGCAAGATCGAAGTTTCATAAAAGGTTATTCTGGTAGATTGGAAAAGCCCATGAATGAATAATGAAGTATCTAACGAAATATGTAATTATACATAAATTGGCACATAAAATATATGAAAATATGTCAATGCAAGTTTCTTATCATTGTAATAAAAGATGGAAAATGAATCATAATACTGTGAAATCATTTTTATTCTATTTTGATAAAAGATGGAAATCGTATCTCAATATTGTGTTATAAGTTTCTTGACCTCCCTGCTGAGTGTAAAATATGTCCATAAGTCCTCTAAGCAAGACTATAAGTCCTCACGTAGTCACCTTATTGTAGTAAGGTGGCTTAATGTATAGAAGTATGGTTTTTGGGTACATAACATTCACAAAAGAATACAAACTTTAATTGGATTTGTTTTATAGTTTACTACGTTCATAGTTGCATTTTATACGATGTGACAAAGAGATGCTGAATATAAAAATGGGCGTAAAACTTCTGGATTTTTGTCTTTATTAGTCATTATTTTTCTTAATTTACATTTAACATATTGGCTCAAAATTATCAGGAGTCCAAATCGTTCAAAGCCCGGACTCCAAAGCGACTGTTTTCTTCAGGATATGTCTACATAGGGTGTACTTGAAAGTATTTTAAGATTATAATGGCTCGAGTAATGTTAGAATTGTCCGTACCCTATCGAGTACTACATGATACAAAGGTCGTTTGTAACCAGGCCCAAACCAGGGAACTATTGAAGGGGGTTCAGGGGATGCGATTGAACCGTCCCTGTCGAAATTCTTTCAAAATCATGCAATTTTTCACCATTCTGAGCACTTTTCAAGTGGTTTTGGGACAAAATGGTCAAAAGTGTACCCCTGTGAAAGAAATGATGGTCCCCCAGAGATTATGGTCCCCTTTGTTAACGGCCCTTACTGGCCCCGATTGCGTATAAGGTAATTAGGGAAAGCGTTGTATTTAGGTCACCATATAAATCAATGGAGAGTAGGACCATAATTTGATAGGACCTCCTACCCTTTTACACCCCCTGTCTTTTCTTAAAAAGTGAACCCCTTGGTAAAAGCTGGATGCATTTTGACCCACAATCTCAGCAAGATTAAAAAAAATGTGCTAAATTCAAATCCGACATTTTGGTCTTTATATGCAAGGAAAAATTGTTAAGGCACAAGCCATGGATCATTTGAAAGGTCTCGTTGTGCTTTTTAAGATAAACAAAAAACAATATTGAAAAAACTGTAATAAGACCCCTTTTGCTGTGGCCTGATTCATTATTGTTCTTGGATATAGCAACTGCAGAAAAGTTTCTTCCTGGCTTAAGTAAATTGATCAATGGCGCGCAGATATTACTGTTCGTTGATCTATTAGCATGGTGAGACGTAAATCATCTAATGAGTGTGACAAGGTTGAGTAACCAATATTAAAATTAGAAATAATGAGGGGATTGCTGCAAACAGGAATTTGGCCATAATCGTTCAAAATAAAAAAAGACACCAAGAAAATAAAAATACGCAACTATGAAATGTAGTTTACAAAGGAGATAATAAAATGGCATCTTCCTAGCTATAGGAAATGATTTATTCCCCCATTCGCACCGAGTACGGTGGAGAATGCACTTGTTGGGAACATGATTTGTCTCATGATAAATCAAGACCCTCTCAATTAGCATTTTGATACTCAGACCATCTCTGCCAACTGATAGGAGGCTGTGATATCTCACGATACTCAATCAGTAGATAAATAGGGAATCTAATAAATCGTAATCATCATTGGTCCAAGGGAATAGTAATTCTTTCTACTATAGCTGCTACAGCAGTAAAGCCCCATCATGAGAAATCATGGCCTTCTATTAGCTGAAAGCACTAGAAAGATGTGATGAGTAGACGGGGTATCAGCATGGTAAAACCCTATCTTGATGGATGAATCGTAATGCGCTTGTAGGTCTTCAACACCATCTTTTCATCTGAATAAATGTTTTCTCAACGCAAATGTTCTGTCTTCAGAGGACTGAGTTAACAACTAACTTGCCTGATGTTTTATTTGTCAGGTTTGGCCATCTATCAGTTTATAGCACTGATTGAAAATGTTTGGATACAGTTGAACTTGTGATCCATTCCACATATATTAAAATAGTCAAATATAATGTTTCTTTGTGCCTTTTCGTTTTCAGAAATCTCTACGTCTCGAAATATACCAAAAATGAGAACAGCCATACAAAAGGGCATGATGCTGGGACCAATACATACCTTTGGAATGCAGCGTTTGGTTATTCACCTTGTCAACAGAGTTGGAAAGACAAACTGAATGAAACTATGGAACGGTATGAACGTTCCCGAGAACGACTTCAGAAACAGACTGATGAAATGAAGAAATTGGTATCTGAGAATAACTCAAAGAATCATCGAAGGATGAAAATGATGATTGATTATCAGGAGGACAGAGTAAAATCTCTTGAAGCAAAACGTAAACAAATAAAATGGTGGCCGGAGTTTTGAATAATTCAACTTGATTAATAAGATATTAAAATTGTTAGTGTTGTATTTTATTTTAGTAAGGGATTCACAATTGAATAAACGACAACTTGGCCTAACCTGGTATGTACCCCGGTATGTACTTACTGTATCATTAAATTTGTGAAATAAACATTTTGATTTCAAATAATAATGTTAAGTGAACGTATGGTCCTCTGATTCCAACTACAGGGTGGTCAAAAGATGGAATCCCTGCATTTTCCTAATATCTTTGTCATTTTGAAGAATTACTCCCTGATATTTCACACATTTGTAAATCATTCAATTTTCTACCGCCCTGATAGTCACAATTTTACAGCACTTCGAATAACATGCTTCAAGTTTGGCCATCATCGCGCTGTAGGCAAACCTTCACAGTTGTCAATGGGCCGAATACATTCATCAGCAGGTATGGCCTGAATGATACAGTTGATCTCACTTTTGAGGTTTTTGATTGTCCTGAGGTCATTCTCTTACACTTTTTCCTTGCCATATCCCCACAGGTAGGGACATTTTGGACGACGAGTGCAGGTGGCCCGACAGCGCAATAGTGGCCACTAGGGCATGTTCTGTAAAGTACTGTAACATTGTGACTATCAATCTGATGGTCATGAAATAAAGTAAGCTGGTAGGAAATTGAATGATGTACAAATGTGCAAAATATCAGAGAGTTATTTCATAAAATGACAAATATATGAGGAAAATGGTATAAGGGTTTCCTTTTTTTGACCACTCTGTACATCTTGAAGTTGGAGTAACTGAAACCCTTGAAAATCAAGATGTTGAAAAAATCCGTTTATCTTTATTTTCAACATTTAAAGGTATATTTATAGGGATTGCTTGCAGTCAACTCCTTGACACACTGTCGAAGAGATTCGTAGACCAGACATACTGATAGATTGGAATCATGAAGTCATTCCTCTGATCGTTATCGACGACTAAACTGATCTTTCGGAAACTAAGCAGCAATGTGTGCAATAAATTGGAATTAGAATTCGATTTCGTAGTGCCAACTATATGGCTTGCCACTGACCAATGCATCATCATATTTTATCGCCGTAACGTCTACTTTAACGTCTGAAATCTACTTTTAACATCAAAACAGTTTTATACACCATTAAGAATTGCTTTGAACGCCGTCAAAAACTATTTTCAACGGCGTCAAAAACGATTTTGTACGGCTTCAAAAACGATTTCGAACGACGTCAAAGATGATTTTGAGCCCGGGTTTGAGCGGCCTCAAGAAATGCATGTGACAGTATCTGTCACCTATGTTACCTGGCAGCCAATCGAAACTAGCTTTACAATTCAACGATGTATGACAGATTCACCTGCGGCATTTGCTATACACACTAACCAATGAGAAGGCGATACGGAAGTACGCAATTGCCAATTACATCGATTCAACGAACGGGCTAAAGTCTATGAAGGGTTAACCCAACTAATTGTTATAACATGCGTATTCCCATACAAACGATCTGTCTTCCAGAGAAAACTAAGATTTGTGGACATGTTTTGCTATCATTCCATCATACCCCAGGATGTCCTCTGTCAGTCAAAAAAGTTTGAATCAAAACTCCCCACGAAAATCAAACGATCTCACCTGTTGAATACGCCATCTATAGAAAATGTCAAAAAATGTCATTCTGATTTTGACAGATGGAGGCAGGTCAAAAAGGTCAATTTTTTTTAAAGAATATGCACCTTAATCACATCAAATCATGTCTTAGAGTTGGTCCATACAAACACTTTTTCATTCATGTACTTACCAAAATCCAACCACTGGTGATGCTAATGTAATTACGAAGCTTCCTGGTCAACTCAACCCCAAGTCAACTCAACCCCAAGTCAACTCAAACCAAGTCAACTCAACCCTTAGTCAAGTCGACCCCAAGTCAAGTCGACCCTTAGTCAAGTCGACCCCAAGTCATCTCGACCCTTAGTCAACTCGACCCCAAGTCATCTCAACTCTTGGTCAACTCAACCCTTAGTCAAGTCGACCCAAATGATTTTACTTGTTTTAAGTAGATTAAAATACAATATAATCCAATTGTTTGTGCAGTTTGATTTGAAATCAAACTTCAAAGAAAAAGACATTTCTGTCACCTATAGATCAAAACGAAGATTTAAACTGGATCATAAAATCCCAATCTGATTGTTTATGACACCTGACATATGAGTAAGATAATGGAAAATAGAAAAACATAAATCCCATTGTTTGTTCAGTCTTGTTTTAAAATCTTACTTCAAAAAAATAAACATTTCCGGATCATATTGTTTATTATTATTATCAAAATATAAAATCATTCAATACAAAGTAATGGATGGATGTTGGCACAATGCACATGTTGCATAAGTTACCTGTTGTCAAAAATACTGTTGCAACAATTTCGGTATAACAGAAAAGTGTATAGATAATTTTTTTATTTCAGAGAGATTAAACAAGCTCAAATATGAAGGGGTGAAATATATGTATAGCATCGTGAATAGTCCTATTAAGATTAATCAAATATTATTTTGTTATTTATAAAAATTATAAATACGTTAAAGATTCTCGCAATCTTTATCCAATCAGCGTTTGCGAGTGTGTCGGCTCACGTATAAAAGGCGAATCCAACTCAAATCCATGCAGGGGTGTATGAGGTACTCGAATAGGAAAGAGCTCGTGAAATCTGAATTTATATGCACATGGTCAATGTTTACACATGTTTGGAGTTATTGAAGAAAATGTGATATGGGTGTGGTTCCGAATTTGAAGTCATTGCTGGAAAATATGATTTTAATACGTGAAATTATATCTATGAATACAGCACTAAAAATAACAGTACACATGAAGTACATGTATGATTGTGTTCAGAAATGTTTGAAACCCTTACGGAAAATTCTGTCTGCATTTTGTCACCATTGCTCTTTCTTCCCGCATTCTAGTGCTGTTTGAATGAATATATTAATTAATGTATTTCTAACTAAAATATATCACATTTTTTATAAACTACAAACATTTAGATCATAAAAAAATTATTCAATACTTGATTGAGCACGATATGCAAGGGTTACTAAGTTGACACAGTAAATGACCACTGATATTGTGTTAGTCCATGCACACAGCGTATTCTGCTAAGGCCATAAGAAGTAGATTCTTTGCTTTGCGTCCCCTTGCTTGCACGATTTTGAGTAAATCAGAAAAAACAAACACATCAAAATAGCAATCACAAGGGTCTGAAAGTACCATTACATTTCGTTCAATCAGAATCAGACGAAATGGCGGATAATTTGATGTGCGTCAAAATTGACAGTGTTATAATTATTTTGGCATACATTGTGTATTTTCTTATTTTTTTACCCTTGAAGTTTAAATATATTGTATAAAATGTATAGATATGTGTTTGTAATCACTGCAAATTGGTATGTCATCCCTTTTTATGCCCATAAAATGTATACATTTCTCAGCAAACAAGTTTGTGTTTTTTTCTTGAGTTTGTGTTTGTTTTCCTTGTACCCTTGCATGATTTGGATTTTGCCAGGACGCAAAACAAAGAATCTACTTCTTATGGCCTAATACACATTTGCTAACACCCCCACTTTCAAAGTGAAGTGACTAATTGGTTTATGTTTACGTTTTAATGTGTTTTGGGTTCCTTGTTACAGCAAGGGGGGCCAGTAAAGTAGACTAACATGTTTGCATGGCAAGTTTTGATCGAATATGTGAGACACTTTAAGCACAAACTTCAATAGTTGATAATGTTATTTTGGAAAATTAGCATTTTAGTCCCTCATTCTTTCAAAATTCATCAATATCATACCATGAAAATAGTATCAATCACGTCAGTTGTTTATTACGATGTTACCATGTTTACGGTGAGACACCTGCCCGCCGCAGTGATATATCACTGCACGGGAGTTCGATGTAATTACAATAATTGGACTATATTTTTGTTTTTGTAATGCCATCCATTCGTGATCTAATAGTTGTGTGTCTCCGAATTATCATCATTATTACTGAATCAACAGGTCAGTGCATTGACTATATCAACTAATACAATTACATACCATACACCAGCGATACCTGTATTATTTGATGTTGCTTTATGGATGTGTTACATGTTAAATAAACGAACATACGTTCGTGAACTTTATGAGTGACTTTTATAACCTAATTATCAACAGTTCACAAAAGATCAGATAAAAACCTAAAACACGAGTATTTATATATTGTTGTATTGACAATCACGATTTACACGTGTCTGATGCTTTTAGGAGTACCATTCAGCAATAACACGTAATAAACGTACAGGATTCATTAGTAATACTCGAAGCGCTAACAATATTCATTGGTAATCCAGCGTAGTTTTATAAATAGAACCGTTTCTTATGGCCAATCAAATCGAGGCTTTCTATATCGCATTTCACCTGCAGCATATGGCATATTACGCAGGTGAGTATGCCATATTCTGCAGGAGAGTATGACATATTCCGCAGTGAGTATCGGGTATTCACTGAAATCAATGTATCGCATATATTCACTGCGGACTATGCCATACTCACCTGCCCGTATCACAAATAGCGCACAACCATGAATATATGCCATATTTCGCGTAACACAGTGTACAAAATCGTTTTTGACGCAGTCAAAATCATTTTTCAAGTGCGTACGAAAATATTTTTGACGCCGTTCAAAGTGATTTTGACTATAATGTCTTCAAGGTTCAGGATGCGAAAGGGCAATAATTCAAATGCCCACTATCGAATAGGCCAGTATCTTTTGTCGCTTAGGGGAAGTACTATCATTTAATAAAAGCTGTAGATAATGTTAGTTGCGATAAGTTTCCATCCGTGTCTCCTCTCTCGGATGCAGTGTCTCCTATCTCGGATGTTCATTTGAAACCATGTTCTACGATGTTGCTATGCTATCAATAGCAAATTAAAACTACTTGGCAATTTTATTCTGAAAGCACATTGTTCTATCGGCGAATACAGTTGCATGAAATACCTTGAAAGATCGGGAGGATTACTTCGTGATAAATAAGAATTATTTGGACTTTACGGGAACTGGATTAATGTCTGTAAAGATGAGACAAGGATAACACTACAAAGATACATTTTAGTTATGGCGGAGAGATTATAATTCATTTTCCATTGTATTCCATTTTTCCATGACTGAAGAAGAACCTAAATAAATTGATCAAGACGTCTATGGAATCACTAAACAAATGGTCAAGCCAAATCAATTAGTTTAATTAGGTTGCAAGAAGCATTTTAGCCAATCCACGATTTTAAATGACCATACTCTGTACAAGTTCTAATTCTTAGTTCTAGTTCCTCTGGGAACTTGGAAAACAAGAAAGAGAGATCGATTTCGTATTTTAATTATCACTGTCTTGTTAGACGTCTTTTTCTTCAAAAGAAAATCAAGATTCAAAAATGAAGACAAACTGGAGAAAGTGTTACATTTTCACGAAAACAACACGTACATAATTAAAAGTGGTCCGATTCTAGCCTACGCTGTTCAAAACCGTTAAATTGAGGGTGATATGGAATTGCTTGAAATCAAGATAATCTAATTACAAAAGTAAAGGACGCTAGCTGCATCAAAACTAGCCCATACGAAATAAGGCTACTAAATTCAAATTTAATGTGGTGATTTATTTCTTATTTACTGACATAGTAGCATCTAATCTGTCATTTCCATCAGGATTACGCCCGGATTTGATGCTGAGGAATGGAACCGTAGTGTCAATAATAAGGAAATCAATGGCTTTACACAACACCTGGATACAAATCGGTCTGGTATTGACTTTTGCAACTCAAAATGGTAATTATTCATTTAAAACTTATCAAAGTACATATGGCTTTATGTAGACTTGCCTTCTTATTATATTAAGAAAGTGATCGACTGGGAATTATAAATGGATCCCTTTCTGAAACAAAATGGCGGCAACCCGGGTGTGGTGATCTGTTATTTCTTCATGATTTATTCACATACGAATTCAAAAGTCATGTTTACCAAGTGAACGTTCGTGGACCTATAAATACTCATTTTCAAAGAGAATTGTGTCTTAAGACATCTTGATACATCAAAGTAAGACGAAAGGAATGAATTTCCTTCAAATGCATGCTGTAACAACATCAGTTGAATAACATTCAAAACAGATATTTCCTCATTCAATCAATATTTTTGACTTTGAAATATCAACAAACTTTGACAAACTTTCCTCCTGGGGAAAGTGACTTTGGAAAAGCTGCCAAAAATGATTACAAAATACCGCAAAAAGTAAATATTCAAAAGCATTTCTGCGTTCGTCATCCCAGGTTGCCATGCAACATCTTGGTTTTGCTCTATGGAGCATCCTGTTTAGAAAAAACACATTTCTGGTATATTCCTGAGGTTCCACTCAAAGTTTTTTTTATTTTATAATACGTATACACATTTAAACTTAGATGATTTGGTCATGCAGGTTGAGACTGTCAATACAATGAAAAATATGTTGGAAAATATAACATGTAAACCCGATTTAAACATCTTGTTCTACGTGACGTCATGCTTACCATATTAGCTTGGTTCATGAATGTCATATCGTATATAAGATCTTGACAGATTAATAAAAAGAATTTAGTTAGTTCTATCTAGAGGAATATTAAAGTGAATTATTCTGACTCAAAATAAAGGTCCATAGGGAATGACCTTTGAATAACACAATCTATTTTTCTTATTAATATGAAGACACACTTTATAACAAATCTTATTAATGATGATGAATGTCTGTAGAAAGTTTAAATGGAAATAAACCCCTGATGTTGACCAGCCCGGCCGGGAAATGATGATGTAGCTAATCCTTCGTGAGATTGCCTATTATCTTGGACTTTCATTATGATTTCTAAAGAACACTATTATAAAATACTAATACGATTTTTATCAACGAGATTGAATCCTGCATTTGATGATAAAGTTTTTAAGAGTCTTCATTGCATTTTTGTTTTCAAGAAATATCTTTGGTATGTTTAAAAAGTGTAAAATATTTAATTTAATTCAATTGTTTTAACATACATTTTATCATATACAGAAACCTGCTGGGATGTTTCTATATGTGAAATGATAGATCATTATACGTAGTTCGTTAGGGAACTACGGTAGGTATGGTATAGTGAAGCCCTCTGTCCGTCCGTCCGTCAGTCAGTCAGTCAGTCCGTCCGGAAGATAACTCGTATACTAGTCGACGAATTTTCTTCATATTTGTTGAAAAGATGTATATTGGTGAATAGTTTTACGCAAAAGTTTTTTTCAAGATGGCCGACCCTTTGGAAATGGCGCGAATTTTTCTTATGTTTTTCATTTTGAACCAAAGTAAAAAAATATTATTATTTGAAATTTCCGTGTTTTTCACCCTTACCTTCGTGAATTGGGGTTGGGAAAACAAAAATTTGCGTTAATTTTGAGAAGTTTTTGAAGTGTAGCTTTATCATACTCAAAAAGGCAATTTAGAGTAGATTACAAATATTGTATCGTTTCTCGAATTCGGACCTCGTAAAATTCAAAATGGCCGCCTGGTGTGGGATTTTGCAATAATTTTCTGATCTCTTAGAAGTATGGCTATATTATACTCAAATTGAAGGAACTTTAGAGTAGATCACAAATATTGTATTGTTTTCTGATTTTTGCCTCAGAAAATTCAAAATGGCTGCCTAGAGCAGGAATTCGCCATTACTTTTAAAGTATGGTTAGATGATACAACAATGATCTCAAGTATTTATTGAGGGGAAGAGTAGATGGTAAATATTACATTGTGACTGTACAGGTTCATGATTTATATATTGTTCCTTGGGATTCGCTACTCCGTGGAGTTGCCAATTTCTAGTTTTTCTATTGATTTGATCATGGGTATTCAATAGATCAAAATGGTCTTCGATTTGACAGGAAAGGAATATTTGAAACCATCTAAATTACTTCTACATATTGTACATTTAATAATGTTAACAATGTTTACATAAAGTGTCACGGTGGTTTATAATCAGGAAATGTATCTAAAACAGGATTGATGGGACTTGGTTATTAAAGATGCTTTATATATACAGAGTGTCCCGAAAGTATGGGGCCCCCATAGGAAGACATTTACCAGTGTCGTCATAGTATGTGTCATATATCATTTTAAAGCTTATCCAAAGATATGAAAAAACTTTCGTACAAGAGAAAAGTTTTTAACAAGAGAATTTGGAAATATGATCATGTTCATGTACACCCAGGAACAGTAAAGTTCAGTGAGACCTAGCATTGTGATCTACGGATTTTTAGACCTAGACTCACAATTTTGTTTGCTGAATCATACGATGAAGGTGTTGATTCCAAAAGTATAGGAAACAACGCCTGGGTGGAATGAAGCAGCTATAATGTAAGCCCAATGTCTTGGGCTTAAATTATTTTTACAGATTGAAAAGTATTTCCGACAAAATCACCTAAAAGATATAAAATCACCAAAAGAACATATTTTCAATGAAACAATTTGCAAGGGTCAAGTATTGGCATAGCATCAATTGCAATCCACACCTTAACAACCATACACTACAAATGCGTTATTGATTATTTCATGCACTGCTGCCATGTAAAAATACTGTGTTCGGATTGGCTGGAATCGGACACACCTTGCCTATCCATGTGTGAATTTTGAATAGTCCGCTCATATTTTGCCAACTTGACGAGCACAAAAATTCGATTAATACGCAACAGTGAACAGGTGAAACGCCGCGCTGCTTGAAAGCAATTAACGGATGTAATTGCATTACGTAAAATAATTCCATGACTTTTAATGTAATCTAATGTCACTTTGTATGTCAGTAATGATTCTCTTGAAGTGACAACAGCTTTCCGCAGTCTAAAACTAAAAAGTACATAGTATGTTCCAAAGCGAACAATGAGTACTCTACATTGCTGATGTCACATTGTTATTACGCCAGTTAATGAAACGGAAATTCTATATTTCCATTCTCAACATTGTTAATGAAACGTATTGCCCATACTTGGTTAATCAAAAGGTGCGGCTATTTTGTACGCTCTGCATTCGTTCGACTTCGCTTTTTAAAACTTCGTATTAAGCAAAAAATGCAATAAATCAAAGAATCCCGGCCTTTTATTCCTTTAAAATGTAATTTTCAAAGTATAAGTTGTATTTCTTTGACAATACAATTATTGCATCGTGTGATCACGTCCTTGGCTTAATTCGATTTTTTCACAAAACGTCAATTAATGTCAATTCCGAAAATTAGCAAACTGGACATTAATCGGCATATAATACGTTAAGATATTTATAGTCTTAAGTTATAAGGAAACTATGGAAAGGAAAGGATGCTCTCACTTTCTGTTTTTCTTAATATAATCATTTTTGTCACCACCACAAGTGATGATATATTGTTGTAGTCTCCAACCTTTTTGTGCCGGCGGTTGGTGTTCGGCATTTGGCGTCTGTGATAAATGGACATTTTGCATGTTAATGCATTGTCTTTATTCTTAAAGCATGTTAGACTTCAGGTACAATAATGGGTTTATGACCCTTAATAATTGCATTACTGTTGACAAATTAGCAATTAGAGAGAAACCACTCTCATTGATCAGCTAAATGGGTCACTTAAGTCAAAGTAAAGCATTGTGAGAAACGAGATACGTTGAGATGCTTGGTATACAATAAGCTCATATTCATCAACGATCCTGCTGATAATATAACATGGCCTAATAGGGGCTTAATAGAGAAATATGCTGACATATTATGTAGTCAGCAAAAGAAAATAGATACGTGTTCTGTCATTATTATCTTTATTAATATTATTTTCAGAGAGCTTAAGAAAAAATAATTATCCCAACGTGCTCTATAAGTCAGCATTATATTTGCAACGGTTTGTATATCACAGCAGTAAAGTTTAGACAAACCAATATGGAGGTTAATTTACACGTTTTAAGACAACCTGTACGTGAGCGTGTGATATTTCGACCCCGTGGGTTACTGTACCGCTCTCAAATCACTTTTCTAGGGACCTAATTACAATTATTTCCGTATATACACGTCGCACGAAACTGGGGACAATTAGCGTAACATCATGGCGTCAAAAACCAAGACAAAACAATGAGCAGCATAGGGCGCAAACAGCCTTACAACGTCAAAAACGACAAGCGTCACATTTTTGTAAAGATTAGTCAACCTAAAAATAAAATACTTTATCCTTACCTAATCATGACAACATTCACAGGGTAGCAAGATCTCGAGGACAATGTTTCCAAAACGTTTTGAATTATGAAAAACGGTCAAGAAATCCATTTGGGGTGTTGGTAAAAATTGATATGTATGGAATTTGTGGTAAAAGAAGGTTAAATGAAGGTAAACTTATTGCTCGTCCCATTCGCCTTCAAAACCTTACAAAATTTGGAAAATTTTAAAAGCGTTCATATAAGATAATTTGAGCTGGAGCCGTTAAGCAATTGTGACGTCATAAATGAACATGTTCCATTGAATAAATTGTGAAATTTTAGTAGGATTTTGATCATTATTTCAAAAGTTATCCCAATTTCAACGAGCCCTGTAAGCGTAAAGTGTTACGTCTTACAGCGTATTTGACGATGTCGGGATATATTTAACTTTAAAAAAATGTTGGATCCCATCAAAATTTTGAAGGTAAAATAATTTCACTGAAATGTGAATAAAAAATACTTCAGAATGATATACAGGGTGTCAAATAAGTCCCCCCCCCTGCTACAGCTAAAACCTTAACAGACGGTACCTAGTGTGATATACCATTGGAAAGATCGTCCAAAGTTATGTTAACTCACCAACTCTCAAGTATTTTGGATGAAATTTACCTATATTTTTATGATGTCTTTTATAGTTAACGTGCCCTCCTTTGAGTAGCTTTTTGCGTCAAAATGACAAGGATATGACCTCAGAAATACGTCAAAAAGTTAATCTTTTTCGCATTCCACTTGTTACATAAAGGTTTTCACCACTTTCTTTGCATCTCTATTTTCTACACATCCAACCCTATCTAGAAATTGGTTAAATTCATCGCCATAAACATATTTAGTCATCTTTTGGTCCCTTGACCTTCCTTATACCCGATTCTTAAAATCCTGCCAAATACGCCAAATTGCCATGTTTCTAGGCATATGGTCACCTCAATTGATACAATGTAAAAATTTGTGAGATTGATTGACGTGTGTCAGATATATGCTAACTAACTTTACCTTTGGAAGACCTTTCCAATGATATCACACTTGGTACCAAATATCTTGGTTTTGGCTGTAGAGGGGGGACGGGACTTATTTGACACCCTGTATAAAACACATAGTTAGCTTTTTAAATAAGGCAGAGATAAACGCTCAAAGCTGAGATTAACCCGTATTTTCCGAATTGTCCCCAGGTCCGTGCACGTCATAATACCCTTATACTCAATCGGCCAAGTAAACCGTACAAATGGGAGGAATTATCCACAGACGACCATAATCCTACACGTCACGTAGAATCGTGTATCTTAACCTCCTGATTAACATGTCAAAATGTCACTACCTTATAGCAATCATAAATGTGTAATAATGATTTGATACAGACTTCGACGACGAATGCGGGTCGCAAATACGGTGGCTATAAAAACATAAAGATCACGTTATCACAGGTGTTAAAACACGAATATACCATGAGCACATGCTTTGATCCGCGTTGTTTGAACCTACCGCCGAGCACAATTATACATTAAGACTATGGTGTTTAAACTGCTTCTTTATTCGGTACATTAATATTCCATAAATACCAAATAAAACAAACAATTTACCAAACCTTTACCCAATCTATCGAATGTTTTTTTATTTCATCAAATGTAATAATCTATACAATTTATATTCGCTCAATAGTTTCACTTGTTCTTTATATTGACATTCACATTTGATATTTATACATGTATTTGTGTGATGCAGCGAATCAATTTGTTTTCCTTAACGCACGCATAATTCAATTAATTATTTGTACATTCGGTATTTAAATTATTTATATTCGGTAAATACCGAATGCCACATTCGATAAATTTCGTTATTTTTCGATAATTTACGAGACTTTCAGTCACGTGATATATTTGTACTATGTAGAATAGCTGCGCGGCCATTATGCAAATCTCGAAGTCACGTGACAAAATATCGAACAACAACGCAAGTTATCGAATATTACTTTATTGCATTCGGTAAATAGCAAATTAGCTTTCGGTAAAATGCATTAACTATGTCATAGAAAAATAAACCATTTGGTAAATATAGGCAAACTTATTTCGGTAGGGTTCAAATAGAAATTCAATATTGTGCATATAATGTGTTACTCTTAAGGAATACCATAACACTTTACGCCGAAAAATATCATTTAACGAATGAAATATGTAATTTAATGCACATAGTATTAAGTGATTGGCTATTTTGAAAACTTAATTTGCTGTAACAAACAAATAAACGTTTTTACCGAATGGAAAAATGATTTAGCGAATATAAATATTTCATATATCGAATATATTTGAATTTAATGAATAAAGAAGCAAAAATAATGCCATATAAGACCCGTTACACAGTCATGATACCGCCGAGCAAGCTCATTGCATCATCGGGTCTGCTTTACCCCCGTGTTATACGATACGAAAAGGGGATTTTAACAATTTGAGTTACTATGAATGACTTATGGCAAAATGTCTATGCGTTTACTTGAACTGATAAATTTAAAATTACATTAACGCAGTTTCAGTGAAACATAATTCTGGCTAATCGACTTGCACCTTTTATAAACAGTAAACTTATCGCGAATTCAAAATGCCGGTTGACGGATTAACCAACTATTTTATAGCCAACTTAACTTATTTTAGTATGAATAGTACCTGCCAATATTCCATTCTTGTCTAGAGAATTTTACGAGAACTACTATATCATCACCTCGAGGGTTATCTCATTCGGACAAGTAAATGCTACGATGGAGAAACTAATCTCCAGAGGACTACAACTACACGTTTTTCACGTTCGCGTACACGTGCACTGCATTTTCCCTCCGTACTAAATCGAGACGATTGAACAATTAGTTTACAGCCAACTTAATATGTTAAGAGAAAAATTGCCATGTAGTCGTTGGTGTCACGTTGACAACTAATCAATTCAGGATGTAACGTAATTAACGCCGTAGTTGACAGTGAACATTATTTTAAAATTGATATCTACAGGGTGTAAAATAAATATGTGCTCGCCCTTAATTTCAAAAGTATAAACGTTCGTGTATAAAAGTACATCTAGTTGAGCTTGTCATCTGAAATTTCTTGTGGAGTCACTCCATGAAGCCTAGTTTTAATGTGCTATACAGGGCGTCCACAAAAAAGTATACCCAACTTCAAAGCCAGGATACCAGATTTCTGAGCACTTTTTGAAAAATTCAAAGGATTGCAGTATAAGGCCTTGTTTATTCTCCATCAAATGGTACCCAGATCATTATGTAACTGTCATGGACGACTAAACAATCATGACTTTTATGAAAGGTGGTAAAATCAGCACTGTGCCAAGTTAGCATTCAAGTAGGATTGACACAATGAATGTTTTTTATGTTTAAAACATTATTAATGTTCAAATTCAAACTTGTGCCATGTTCTTCAACCTTTAATTATAAATAATTTTCAACTTTTATTGTTACCTCCCTCTCAGGAAATTGGATCACAAGACCCTCTTGAACAGCAATGAAACTTCTACATGATGATATGCAGCTTTGAAGTCAAATGTATCCCCCATTTAAGTCAATACACCCTTGCTGAAATCCTCATTTTCTCAGAAGAACCCAAGTTGATTGAGTTTCAACAAGTAGATTCATGTGGGACAGTATTGCTAGAATCCATATCCAATAGTAAGAATATGGGTTCTTAAACAGTACATAGTACTTGTCTTTTAGAACTTTTTGTTGGCTCTACTGCTCAGGTGTCAGTTGAACCATGTTTGCAGGCCTGTTTTAAAGTAAGTTTAAGCTTTTTGCCAAACCTTTTTTCATAAAAGGGTTACTCAGCCCCCACTCCAGTTCACTATAAAAGTCCTGTCGTCCAACAAAATGTAACAGAAATGAATACTGAAGCCAATTACATATCGATTGCCACACAGGAAGATAACTTGGCGCAGCGTTAATTTTACAACCTATCAGAATGGTTATAATTGCTCAGTCGTACATGACACTGAGTGAGTTACATAATGATCTAGGTACCTTTGGATGGAGGACAAATAAGACTTTTTGCTGTTACCTTGTACTTCAAAAAAAATTGCTCAGGGTTCTAGTAATTTGGTTTTGAAGTTGGGTATACTTTTTGTGGACGCCCTGTAGAACAAATCAGATAGCATGCAGACAAAAAAGTTATGCAGTATTATGCAAATGTTATTGCTAATGAGGGAAGAACATTTGACACCCTGTAAGAAACTAAATTGCACAAGCTCAGACGACCGTTTACATGTTTATTTTGCCTTATGTATTTCTAGTATTTTCATCCTGCCACAGAGAAAGGGAAAGAATAGTACATCACCATACTTTGTTCCACGGGCATCCACGATACGACGATCTTTTCAACGATCTCGCATCTCAACGTGTCAATAGTGACATGTCTGACGAATACAGACTTTTTAGTGATCTACTCAGGTAACAGTTAGTGTATAAGAGCTGTGATCGTGTATTTTTACTTTTAAAGTTACTTTAATGTTCTTTATAACTCATTCACGATGTGTACTGTGAAGGCATACATTACCACTAAGAGAAAAGTATAATTCAGTATGAGCCTGGATTACTACCCAGTAATGCATGATGATCTAGATTCAGGTCTTGAAATTGATTAGTTTGTCGATTTTATCTAGCAGTTCGAATGCCCCTTATTATTAATATCAAATACTGACCTAAATTCTTGATTTATATAATTTGCTTTTAGTGAGTAAACTTTCCTTCATATTAACTTGATCAAACTTTTGTAAACTAAACCAACATTCTCAACAGGGAAAAACAGTCTGCATTGTAATATAAACATATACGCATGTGTTTGAGCAATAAAGATCCAAATGCATAGAATAATGTCTTTTAAATAACCTACAAACGAATGATTTTCATTCACAGCTCTATTATTGATTTGTCTTAAACCATCAAAAAACTGTCATGGACCATTTCTCATCTTGTCCATCCAAGTAAACGTAATCTCCCCTCGAGAGTAATTCAACCAACTTGATAATTGCAACACATATAATTTGGAACTTCCCACGTGTCCAGTAAATTGCTATCCACTTGAACAAATATTTAGATTGTCTGATTGATGCTTCAGATACCACGATAAGTCAGCTCGACCAATAAAAAATTCTAGCAATGCTGTAGAAGTCAATATTGGCCTTACAATGTCACAGATCTTTGATCTGGTAAGTATACTATAGTGCACTTTCCTCTCAATGGAAGAAAAATATACACTATGGGATGGTACCCTTTGCTGCGCGCCGAGTCTAGTTGTAAACTTAAGGTGGAGCTCTATCCGGGAGCTCTCTCGAGCTCTCTTTCAAATTAATTAGTTCGACTTCGTTTCTTAATTTAAAAGAGAGCTTCGCCTTTTGTTTACAACTAGACTCGGCGCGCAGCGTAACACTAATAGGGATGCTGTTTTAAAAGATGTACAGGATGAGCCAAAAAAGGTAACCCAGACACATCTTAATAACCCTGTCATACCATATGGGGTTAAAATCATATTTGGCACAATTGAACCTTGTGAAATGTTCTTTCATTCAACAGAGTCCCATTGATCTATTTCAAATGGTTAACGATTTTATGTCAATTTTACAAAACATGCTCAGAATTGTCTTTTGAGGCTTGACTTGTCTTTGGAGACAAACTTTAACGCATTGAGTGACGTTTGCTGATTACAGGCCACCAAATATCTAGTGGAATTGCTCTCATTTTCCTTCTTATCTCTTGTTTTAACTCCCTGATGCTTCTAGGGTTGTATTGTTAATATACATATTATCTTGGTAGAATGAAATAACATTAAACAAGGTTCAATTGTGCAAAATATGGTAAAACCCTATACTGGATGACTGGGTTGTTAAGATTTATTTGGGTTACCTTTTTGGCTCACCATGTAAATAGCCCAAATGTAGCTGTTATGGTCAAATATTTAATGCTATATAGATTGGGTTGCTGGATTTTGACCGTTTAAGGCTAGATTAAAGGTGCATCCCTAACCCAAAGGGAGTAGATGGACCTCTCTATTTAAACCTTGGAAAGAAAGATAACAACGAACTGTTAAGGCCAATTTTAATACAATTACTCTGAACATTCTGATGAAGTGATCTTTCTTACGATAATTATGTATATAGTATGACTGTATAAAGATGCCACCAAGACCTAATCATCAAAGGCAATTTAGTGGGTTGTCTTTAATAAGTCATTAAAATTCCAAATCTAAAGCTATGATTTTTTGTTTTACCAATAAGTTCCGCAAATTCATCAAAGTTCGACAACATTTTGATTCAAATTGTTGGTATATTGTCACAATTACGAATTTCTGATGATAATAATAACCCGTTGATCTGTAAAAGTAACGATTTCCTTTTCAAATCTTTCAATTTGAATCAAATGGAGTACTAAGTATATTTGTTGAGCTGAACCTACATATCTTTATGTCAAATTTTGCCATTCGTGCCATATTTTCATGTTTTTGAGATTGGTGATTTTCTTTGGCAAGAAAGAATTTCAAGCTGTCAATTTGTGATTTGCTACCCTCGTCTCCGAGCATTTTGTTCATTAAATCGTGCCCCATTGCCTTGTTGTAAAGTGCCTAACTGAACATTCTGCAACAGCTTCGAATCCAATGACAGAAATAGGACGATGAATATTATGTTCGTTGAACATCTTTGTGTCTTTACATTAACCACTAGACAACTCAACCCCTTCACAATTCAACCCCCGGACAATTCATTCATACCACATAACACTAAAGTTAGATAACAACAACACTGAAGTTAGGAATTTAGAAATACATTTAGAGTCTCAAGACTACCAATGCATCGCATCTTTGTGTAATAAATTAATTTTGCAATGTGTGTGATTTTGTCCAGGGATTGATTTGGCTAGGAGATGATCTCCAGGGGGTGAGTTGTCCAGGTTGAGTCATCCAGGGATTGAGTTATCTGGGGTGAGTTGTCTAGGAGTTGAGTTGTCCAGTAAATGTCTTATTTTGATAAGAAAACCCAATTGACCTTCCTTTCAAATATCAAAAACTCAATCAAATCAAAAGCCTGGAATCGAGAATTCTAAGTATAAGTGAAGTTATTTTCTAATTATCTATTTACTTTAGAACTTATACTTCATGAATTTTGACGTGCGTTCCTGAGATGGTGATAATTAAATTAGAATTCCCCAATATTACTTATGGGATCGCTATATGAAAAAGAGGAAATGATCAAATTATTCTAATGGGCAACAATTCCTTTGACAACCCTATTAACTGTGATTGGCTTACAGTGTGATTGTCAAGCGTGACAAAATGTGATGCGTTATTCAAAAGGCCGTCACGCCATGGTGCAAAAATCTATGTTATATTTATGAAATTAAACAATAAAAGTATGAAGATGTGCTACCAGCCTGACTTATCCGAACCGATTGTTTAGGGGTAGCACATATCCAATAAATATTTCCTATTTTTATCAGGTTTATGACTTTCAAAATACAAAACCGATTTTCATCGATAGGTAATCTCGATTACCAATACGGAATGGCTGTGAATGGTGTATAAAAGCGACAATATTACGTCCCTACAGAATAAAGCAAAAACCTATTGGAACAATTTCCGTTTTAGTAGGTATCTTCTTCACATTTATGAATATAACTGAGTACCCAACATACCTAAGTTTGTGCAATATCACGAATTCAAATTCAAAAATGACAGTTCAACTGTACACCGCGCGTACATGAATCCGAACCTGTTGTTTCCATATAGCACAGTCTATACATAGGGTATGTAAGCGGGACTGAAGTGTAGGCCTAACTGCCATGAACATTTGTATATACTTAGTTTTATATACAGTTGAAATACAATTCTATATTTTAACATCGAAATGTTCCATGAGTTAAGTGGCAAAGTGTTATTTCTCGTTTTCCAAAGAGGATTGGCCACAATACAACAAAGCTAGCGTCATTATTGTCTGACATTTATCTGGCTATAAATTCACATTCAGCAATTAAAAGATTTTAACTAATATCTTGATCACTTCTTGTGTGTTTGAATTTTTTGGTTAATTAATAAGACCATAACACTCGATTTTGAAGTGAGAAATGGCGACAGTTTGAATTCTGAGGCAATGATGCCCATATATGGCAGAATATCAGAATTGCACTCTGGGATCCAATCCCCTTTGGTTTTCAATACATCACTTGCGGTCATTGCATTGAAAAAGCCAATTAACTGGTATTAATTATCAAATGCCAGTATATTCTACTGCTCATTTTACTGTAAACACATACAATTCTAGTTTATCACCCACAGAAGTGCAATCTAACGAGTTAATTTAGTGGATATTTATCATTATCTAAACTCGCCTTTGCGTTTTAAATTCCAATAAAAGTGACTATATTCAGAAGATATGCCCTCTTACGAAGTAGTACTCTGCCCATCATAAACTATATCCAGTCAGTGAATGATATCAAATGAAGAACGATTTGTTCGAGGTATTGCAAATGTTTTTTCCAAAGTGTTTCTAGAACACTAGAGAAACCATCAGAGAAGTGTTTAAAAATGTACAATTTGACGAAGAATGAAAAATATGGATGTTTGGGACTTCAACATTTTGTTTCAATAAGAAAATAAAAGTATTATTTGCAGCATGCTCCGATCACAGGGCTTCAAAATCCAGAATATTCTTTCTTTAGGGGTACGAATTCTGGATACCTGCTTAGGAGGATGTATTTGCAGAGGCAGGTGATTTGTTTTTCGGATAGAACAATGCGATTAGAAATCAAATAATTAAATGACTAAAAGAGAAAATACATGTTTCACATTTGAAAGCAATTTTTCTGATTATAAGCATTGTCTTTTCTAGACAATGCTTACACATAATAATGAGAAATGCAGCTATGGGATACGACATGTATTTAATGAAGTGTTCCATTAAAATCTCCCAAACTTACCCGCTTTAATACGTACCAGCATTTACTTTGAAATATTATGGCTAATGCAAGGAGCTATTTATGTCAGTGTACCCGTCGTCGGATCGGAGCTTAATGCTCATGGTATTATGAGGTCTAGACTTGCCAGAACCCGTGTGATGGCTTCTTTGTAACAATGGAAAGAGCATTGAATAATTTATAACAAAATGAGAGCATTTTTCTTGTTCCTTATCAATCACCCTGAGGTTGAACATACAGATTCCATTACTGAAAAATATGTTAATTGAAGAAGATTCATATTTTCCATGTCTTGTGTACACAGAATTAATATCTCTTATTAACTCACTATACATCTGAGGGAGGTCTATCAAGTCAGTATTAACCTAGGCCTTCTTTATAAACAAGCACTAAACAGACTTATTACATGAGCGTTGAAGGAAGTTTCCCATTGTTCAAAAATCTTAATGGCTTCCCAAATTGGAGTGTTATTTTCAGGTACAAAGAATTCATGCCATCTTTTAGATTTGCACACAAAGGGTGCAAAAATATACCTAGATTATTAGCTGAGCGTTGATTGATATTCCAAATATGTATAAATCTATTATAAAAGAATTAGAACATTCTGCGACCTACATTTTTGTAGGTATAGGTCTCTGAAGTATTCACTCGAAATTGTGTGTTTCACATTTGGTTCATGTTTTGTAACAAATCTGTACAGAATAGTCCATTAGTTGCACAAGGTGGCATGTCAACAGCTCGGTTCGTTGGAACAGGTTTTATATCACTGTGTAATGAGACGGTAAAGACAGCGATTTATTGGATCAGGCTGAAGGTGCTAACAGGAATACAAAATAGGGACAAACTTCCTGATATCATTCACTAGTACATGCGCTGAGTGGTTCGGAAGGTTAAATGTAATTTCGACATGATTTCATTAATAAACCCCATTAACTCAAGTATGACAAGAACTTTTTGTACTGATCCTTGACACTTATCTTAAAAGAAGCTGTCTATTGATTAAGTTATCACGTCGAGGGAAAATATGTCCCTTTTCATTGTTTAGTTTACATAAACTATTTACTCGGGGTGGAAAATTTTCTAAGAGGCTCCGTTAAGGAAAAAATGACTTTATGAGCTGGATGGAATTTCTGTGTATTTTTTATTCTATTAGGGTGTCCTGCATTAAAGATTTCGCCTGCGAAGCATATAACTCTTGCGAACATATCTAAATACTGGTCCGAAGAAGACATACCTTGAATTTTTT